TCAAAGATATAATCATCTCCGCACCATCACTGCACATTGGTATAGTATAGAACTGCAAAGATTGAAAACTTTGCCGGATTTATCTGACTGAGCATTGGAATTTTACGATCCAGGGGCAGTAGTTAAAGGTAAAGGCCAGTATTGGAAACGCCCCAGTTTCAAAAAATGAAATGGAAGCTCTCATTACCAATCATGTGAAAGAATATGTTTTGACTAATACATGATGATAACAAATTTGCCGGGAAACCGCCTACTAATTCATATATTTGGTAAATTTGTTTCTCTCATGGTCTGTGAGAGAAATAGGGTAGTCCCATATACATCTTTCTGTGTATAGTGCTTGTAACTTTACGAAGAATGGGCCAAATTTCTTATCATTTTGATGATTCCAGAACCTTGCAGATGCTAGATGCTAGATGATCAACCTTTTCTGATCGATTCCACAACGTTTCTTTCACAATGCAATCGCATGACCATAACTGGTCTTTACCTTTAATAGAAACTTAAAACATTTCACTCCTTTAACTCATATTTGCGCTCACAACGGATTTCGCCACACGCATGGAATGATATGATGGTGGATTTAGAAAGTACTTTGTAATTAAACAAAATCTTTATAGCTTGAAAAATGCTCATAAAACCTTAGAACTGCCAAAACCACATATGAATTTCAAGAAAAGGAGCTTATGTTATAGAGGCATTAAATCTTGGAATCAGCTACCTATGAACCTAAAAAATATGTCTTTCTCTGTATTTAAATCAAGGGTGATATAAATATTAATTTTATATTTTGTTCGCTTAAATATCTATTTATATAACTATAAAATCTAAAATAAACGCTGTTTGGAAAGAATAACTGCCGACGGGGGGGGGGGGGGGGGGGGGGGGGGGGGGGGGGGGGGCTGGGTAGTAGTATCTCGGTTTGTAAATTTTCATTTTTCTTTGTATACTTATGTGCTTGTTTTTGTTTTTGTTTTTTTAGTATTTCATATGATATGATATGTGTTATCTTATCATTGTACATGTAATTTTTATATTGCGCACGGACCAACAGAAGAACAGCCTTTGGCTGAAGTTGGTGCCGTGCAAAAATAAAATAAACTGAACTGAACCGAACTGAGGGTGATAAATTAAACAAATCAAAAATCGTCCTTTTCTAGCTTTTTGATCGCCATCCCACAAAACTTCCACAAGTTTTGGACATTTCCTTGCGCCTCCAAGTACGGATGGGATAGGCTGGTTAAGCAAGCAGCAAACTCTTAGTAGGGGGTCCATTTGCTTGGCTTTTGCTAGCCCCATGATTACGTTTCAGCCTAAAAGATGTTTCATATAGCATGCGCAATAGCCTTCGAAAATTGAGAACTATTCCAAAACGACCCAATAGTCCAACACGAGACGAACTCGGACGGACAGTTGCTCCTTGGCTAATATGACATGAAATTAATGATGTTGATCGACTGAAAAAAGTGCAAACACGGTATGCCTGTCATCAGCAGAGGGGAGGTTGATTGATGTTATTAGGGGCGGGCCTTTAATTAAGAGATCTCGATAACTCTTTTCGGGTTTCCAATTAGCTGCTAGGAAACAAAATGTATTTCTAATTCGTCATTGCATATTTTTGTCAATTCAATATGCAACTGAATCACCGTCATCCATTACAGTAGTGTATGCTAGACCAACAAATGCCAATTTTCAGCTTTTCAATTTACTTGCAGCCATTATTTAGGATATGACGGAGAGTATTTCAAATTGAGAGTTGTAATTTGCATGACTTAAGCAATTAAATTGAGAAGATCCATCACAATTGTTTACGCAGAACGAAAAAGTAAAATGGTTAAATTTTGCGTCAAGTTAGGACAAAAGCAGAATAATTTGAAGCCTGAAGCCCATTTCACTGAAAATGACTGAAGGTAGAGATGGAGAAGAGAGAGAAAGAGAAAGAGAGCGAAAGAGAAGAAGAAGAAGAAGAGAGAGAGAGAGAGAGAGAGAGAGAGAGAGGGAGAGAAATATGTATTAAATCAGAGAAAATGAGAGGCGATAATAGTGTTTCTTAACGAATGTTGAAAGAAATACTATGTATTGAAGCATGAACAAATTTAGGCTCTGCATTTTCTCAATTTAAGATTCTGTTCACGGTAGCTTGATCGAATAAGTCTACATCCACCATACATGTAAGTTCATCCATTTCGAAAAAGAACTGTGATTATAATACATGTGGAATTATGTTCGGTAGAGAAGTACGTTATTTTCTTAATAAATGTTTTCCTAGGCTATTCTAGCATGTCGGTACTTTATCCCCAAATCAACGAGAAAAAAAAATTAGCCTTTGGCATTATTAGGTTGACATTTGCTTGAACTGTATCGATGTTAGGCTGTTATTTCAGGCTGCCAAGTCAGGCAAGCGCTGATTCGGGTATTGAATAATGAGCTTTCTCGAGCGCACTCGTGATGTTTTAAGGATAACAGATGAAATTTGAGTCTTATTATTATAACAAGGTAAATCTTCAGTAGGGGTGGATCCGAGATTTTAAACAAATGGGGTTGTGTGGTTGGTTCGGCTGTTGGATGATACGCTTTTGTCAGCGCACTCGTAATGTTTTAAGGATAAGAAATGAAATTTGAATCTTATTCGAGTCTTAATAATCTCATTAAGACAAGGTAAATCTTAAGTGCCAGTGGGGGGCGGGTCCAAAATTATATAGAAACGGAGTGATGTGACCCTCCCCCCTCTCAGAATCATGATGTTTGGGAATCATACCGACCTTCTACAAGATCTCTCTCAGTATGAAGGGAGAAGGAAAATGTTTTGTTTTTTTCGTTAATTTTTTTTTGGTGGTATTTGTCTTGTCTTTATCTCTTCCATGTATTGTTTGTTATTTTAGTTTCATTTGTTGTTTGTTTGTAGGCCTACATCTGTTCTTGCGTCTTTTAAGGGACCGTTTTGGGCCTCGTGGATTGATCCATCTACATGTATATTGTGGAAATAAATTGCTTAAAACGCCAAACAGATGGAAGATTAACAGCTGTGCTGGAAGGTCTTCAAAGCAGTTCATGAATATCCTCATATCATAAAACAAAGGTTCACAAACTTCCTTTATGTTAATGTTAAACCAAAATCCCCTTTTAACATTAACATTGTCTCATTACTCCAAAAGTTAAAAACGATAAAAGCAGCAAGTTTCTCCAGTAGTGTACCGATACTTTCTTCATTCGCTGGTTCGGCTTCATGGGTACATCGTTTGAAACAGATGTAATTTTGAGAGATGACAAATTAATTTAAAGATGACATGGACATATTTCGTATCATTTTTCTTTGAACTTCGGAGATATTTTCATTAAACTATTTCTATATGACCCTTTAAGTCTTAAAAGTCTATATTTTTTAGTAAAATATTATTATTAATTCATTCTGTAATATGATAACCATCCTCTAAGAAAATAGTATTAAATGATTTTAACAACGAAATCCAATGAATCCCTCTGCTTTTTGACGCATCCGTACTCCTTCGACAAAAACGCTTTTCAGCGGTTATAAAACGTAGCCATTCTATTTAGGCTTAAAAATATAACAGTTTAATCTTACTGTATATTAACTCTAAATGAATAGCACGTGTGCCTCCTATGAAATATGCATATTTTCGATTGCGCACGGAATTACAGCTCATAAAATATGGAGTCGAGGGGAAGAACTAAATGAATTAAATCAACAGCAATTGGTATTTAACCTGATTAGGACTACTACATGGTATTTGCTCGACCTGAAATTAGCATTTCTGCAGGGATATATTTGACTACACCGGCTTTCTCCCATGACCTGTGGTGGTGTTTGTACTGCATGCTGGCGATGAAAGAACGCAAGCAAATTTTCTTGTAATTTGATTGTAAATTTTCCAATATCTAGAGAGAAGAAGCAAGCCTTGGAAATGTGGCTTGTGTTTCCATTCAACGATAGATGTTGATTTTGATCTATGGCAATGGGGTCACTAGTCAATACCTGGCGCAAAGGTAATTGATTTTTAGTCTTTGGTGGATTGCACGTTATCGTCTGCCTAACAAGTAAGAGCCAATTTACATTCTACAACAGTGAAAAGAGATTCGACTTCGAATATTTTGCGTTTCTGTTATTCCACGTATAATTAGAAATGTCAGAGATATTGTGAATATATACAGGTATTATTTGGTTATTACAACAAATATGATTGGTTTAGGAATGGAGATATGCTAATATTAATACGTTTGAGGTCTTTCGGAAATCCAGCTATGGCAATTAACACGATGATAAAGACTTTCGAGAAATGAACTCAAGGGCAGCGTCAACATCCTATCGTACATCCTATAAAGATCATGTTCAGATTCATAAATTTCTTTTCATTTCATTCATTAATTCATTTATTTATATTAATTTCCAACAAAATACAAATATCATAATAAAAATGAATACTATAATTATGTGGAAAATGTATACAAAACATTATTTCATTTGAAATAGAGAAAAGTCTTTTCCAAACTTGATATCTTTGATTACGTAATACGTTATTGCAATGTTCACAAATTTTAAAAGTTGATGGAAAGGATTGCTGAAATTGCCTTAAGTTAAATTTTGTTTAAATCTTTGCGATCGTGTAAATTAAGCCTTGTCCATCATCTATTAACATATGCAGAAATTACAATGATGTATTTTGTAATACGACCACTACTTGTTTGAGATATACAATATGTTATACAAATTGCTCTTTAGTTGATATCTCGAAAGTGTTTCCGATCGTGTTTCTAACAAGAAGGGCAATATTAAAGAAATGTGGACACTTTCAACATCATTTGTGTGTTATATGGTTGGAATGGCTTCGAGAAGAACCTCCAATAGGCTTCAGGAAATGGTGCCCTACTTAACAACTCTCTATGGGCAAAAGTGGCAACTGAAGTCAGATATACTTCTTAAGATTCACCAATACTTTCAAAACTTGCCCCCTAAAATGATTACTGTAGTTTTCAATACTCACTCCACTTTCTTCTTTGATTTCAGCATGATGGCTTCGTCGCTTAGCAATATCCTGAGAAAGAAAACTCCAACAAAGAAGTTTGATATGATCCCGAGGGGTTTAGTTAGTCCACTAAGGTACACAGAGGTCCGCAGTTCGAATGCAACTGGTCCGGGCTAGGGTGCTACATTATTTTGAGCCCTCGAGATCTACTGCAGATGTGTACATATCTCCGCGAGCTCCATTGTTAAATCTGCGTTCTAATCCTCGCTGTACGTGTTGCGCGTTAGTGCCGGTGAGCAACGTACAGCAGCGTCATAGCAATGCAATACAAACCCCATGAAAAAATAATTACCGCCCTGCGGAGCACACATGAGTGCCTTTATATCTCGGAGAAAAAATAGAAACCCCGTTGTGCTCTGCGTTTCAGTCGTCTGCGTGCACGGACACCCATATTTTGAACAATATGCCCCACTTTGTAAACGTGATCAATTAAATGGTAATAGAGAGGCAGAAACTGCGTTTTTTTTTTTTTGCTACTGCGAGAGAGAAAGTGAGATTTGAGAGAAGGCAATGTACGCTTTTGCAAAGGGTCGCGATTGGAGAGATCGGCGCAGACGACAACGTCTGTGTGTACACATACTTTAGAGATTAGTTTACTCTTTGGCGGGAATCGGTGAAAGCATTCGAAGGAGGTTAAGGAGGCGGGGCACTGCATGCAACGTCGTCATGCACGTAAGATGTACCTCGAACCCTCTCGCACTGTTTCTTTTCCTGCCTTCTCCCACTTTTTTCCTTCTCTATCTCTCTCTCCCTCTTTCTCTGCCCCCCTCCCCACCCTCTTTCTCTCTCTTCCCCTCTCTCTCTCTCTCTTCCTCTCTCTCCGTTGTCACCATCTTACCCCTTCCTCTCACTCTGTCTCATCATTTTTTCTCTTTCTAACTGATATGTCACTGCAATCCTCTCTTCGTATTGTGTTCCCTCCATGGAAGAACAGAGCCATTAGGTTAATGGCTCTGAAATGGACTATCCAACCGTTTTATCATTCTATCATTGTTATATAAGTCTTTGATTTTGTTATATTGTGTTATTGTTTTTTATGATGATTTTCGGAAATTAAACAAACAAACCTCCCTAAATACTATCTCTATTTCGACGAACACCCTTAATTGCTTTATCACATCCGTTATCCCAAGCTATCTCCGCCTTACGTAGCTCTTTTTTCTTCTTTCTTGTGATGCGGTCTCCCATTGCCTGTATCTCTTTTGCTTCCCCCACTTCATAATTATCTATATCCTCGTCTCGCTCCCCTCTCCATGTTTTCTCCCTGTATGTCCCTCCCTCCCACCATGATCATCTCGCTTTCTGTCTGCATCTCTCTCACCCCCCCCCCCCCCCCCCTTCTCTCCCTCTCTTTCTCTTTATCTCTTCCTCTCTCTCTCTTTCCTATGAGTGGAATGATAAACAACAGACAAGCAATGTGAGCAGAAAGCCTTGATGCATGGATGTAACTAATGGCTCCGTGTGTACTACTCCGCCTACTGTACTGATCGATGCCATATTATATCCACCAGGCCATAGAATTACGGAAAAAACTTCCCTACCGCCCCTAACATTTACACTTGGACTTTCGATACATCAAAAGAAATACATCAAAATCTCCCCTCCCCCCCCCCCTCTCTCTCTCTCTCTCTCTCTCTATCTCTTTATCCCTCTCTTTCTCTCTCTCATTCTCCTTCTCTCTCTCTCTCTCTCTCTCTCTCTATCTGTGTATCCCTCCCCTCTCCCCTTAGTATTCATCTTCAAATAATTTTAAGTTACTTGAAAGTGAAAGTTAGATAACGTAAGTCTAAACGTTATGACTTTATATCAGCAATAAAAATAATATCAGCTTCCTTAAAACGTTATGACTTATCGGCAATAAATATCATCTTCACCCCTCCCTTTTCAATAAATGAAATATGTCTCTTATCCTCCTTCTTGTTCTTTGTTATCACCATACTCTTCTTCTTCTTCTTCTTCATTATCTTCCTCCCTTTTTTTCCTTTTTCTTCTTCTCCCTTTTCGTTCTCATACTTCTTTCTACGTTTATTTCTCCTCTTCTTCTTTTCCTCCTACTTTAATGTGTTCCCTTCTTCTTCTTCTCCTTCCTCCTCCTCTTCTTCGTCTCATCTCTAGACTATCCAATGTCAAGTCAAATCTATATACCTTTAGATTACACATGGTCTAAAGTGTCCATCTTGTCGTCTTCTACATTTCTATTCTTCTTCCTTACCGCGTTCTCATCCATTTTAACCATGCCCTTTTACTTTTGCTGATTGAAGAAAATATTTATTAAAAAAACACTCACGCCCTAAAAGTACTTCACCATGAACGCTTAATATTTCATTAGCGTTCTTGATTACGTACACGATCTCATCTTGTCAGACATCATTATAAGTGTGACAATTTGAATAGATTTCGCGAGTTCCTTCTATGTTAATCTTGAAATGTGAATTATTGATGGATGCATCTATGAGTTTTAACACTGTCATGGGGATGAGTATCAGCTTTTGTGTGAAGTTTTAGCCACTAGAAACTGTTTTTACTAAGCTAATTATGCAGATGCGAAGGTAGGAGAACCCCTACAGTCAAGCTTGTTTGGGTGGGTGGAGCAATAATATCAATTGACCATTTTCTCTCAGGTTGTTCTCTCGTTTGTTTCTGTGTGTGTGTTTGTGGGTGTGTGTTTCTTTGTTTGTTTTTGGAGGGTACTTTTCATGTATTAAAATGGGGGTTGTTCATTAATGACCCACTGAGGACCATTATATCCCCTGCCATTTTTGATAAACATAGACTGACTCCGATGATTGTAGAGAATCACCGTATACCAGAATACTTATAAAAGGTCTCGTCAATCTATCCCACCCTAAACTCTCTCTCTCTCTCTCTCTCTCTCTCTCTCTCTCTCTCTCTCTCTCTCTCTCTCTCTCCCCCCCCCCCTCTCTCTCTCTCTCTCTCTTTCTCCCCCTCTCTCTCTCTCTCTCTCTCTCTCTCCATCCCCGTAACATCTGTCTATTGATTAAGCCCGTCGATTCCCGAGATTAATTTCCAATTTCATGCAATTAAAGTCACGTCACACATCTTGTTGTCAATTTTTTATTTTGGTATACAAATGGATGTCATCATATTTCTTTTCATACGGAATCCATTTGTTTCCATGACTACTAATGCTTGCTGACGATTAAAAATGACATGTGGAATCCGTCAAATTATCCACAGAAAAAATAGATACATCGACGGCATCCATTTGTGATTGATGATTTGAGTGCTAGATGAATAAATCATTTCTACTGTCATAAATGGGCATGTTGTAAGCTTTTGACCCATTTTACATCATTTCACATGCAGACCGTGACGGTAAAATACATCCCAATACAATTCCATACAAATTGGCCCTTTTGTTTGCAGTAGACTTATTTTCTTTTTAATTACTGCCATCCTAGTACATTTACCTTTTCTCTGTCTTTTCTCAACGATTAGGTTTGTTTTAAAAACATTTGCAAGGTAAAGGGGGTTTGTAAGCGATGTTTGTTTTTAATCATGGGGAGGACAACGTATCATGCGATATCTTCAAATGTGAAAAGAAAATTTATCTTAAAATCGTATATTTAATAGATCATAATTAACATGGGTACGCAACTACTATATAAAAATAAGATGATACTACTACCCCGGTCTTTAGTCTGACTAATATGGGTAGAGAGTGTTAAATATATATTACTGTTTTACATTGTAATGTATTAATGTAAATTAATGTTTTCCCACCAGGACGTTGTTAATGTAGATAACGTAGTTAATGGAGTTAGCTCAGCATTGTGGGCGTCTGTAAAAGAACGCCTGGCTGGAATGCTCCCCAGGGAGTGGAGAATGTGCATAAATTGTGCATACATTGTGTGCAGGCAAGCCTGAATCCGATGACCGGGGTAGTAATATATTTGTAAAGCGCTTAGAGACATCGCTGATGTATTAAGCGCTATATAAAAACGGAATATTACTATTCTCGTTCTGGTAGGGATTCGAACCCACTACCTTGAGAATCTTAGTCCGACATGTAACTTATCGTCTAGAGCACAACAACTCTACAGATAAGTATGCCTAGGTAATTTCAGATTCCTTATTTTTTAGAAGGATAAACAAATAATGTACACCTTAGTATTATGCAAGAGCATCATTTTGAAATGATGGGAGGTAATGGTGCATGTTTAATTTGTAATAATACTATCACAGTATGTGCTCTGCTGGCTGGCTCGTGAAATGTTGCTTCCTATTTCGCTCCCTTGGGATAATAAATCAATGTTATTGCCTCAGAAGTTATCTCCAAACGACAGTTTTTATCCCTATCATTTTATTTTTGCCTAGGAAAACGGAGAGTCCTCTTCCTCCACCCAAGCGATGCATCATCTAATACGAACGTTAAGAAAATGATTTATGAAACTTCATCAGGTTTGAAACGAGCGATAAATCTTTAGATGTACCAGAATTGACATTGAACAAACGGACTCTCATCATCAATTAGGAAACACGAAAGTTAGAGATAAAAGGAAAGAAATCCGTTTGCTGTACGTCCTCTGCAATGACAAAGTGCTGAGTTTAACAAATAAGTGAGATTTTATACAAGGTATTTCTGAGAAAGATGTTATTGGACTGTATGAGAAATGGCATGTCCAGTCTAGAAATTCATTTTGACAAAAAGAAGAGTCATTTCTATGCAGCATACCCAAATTTGTGTGAATTACAAAACAGTTATCAACATCGCGATGTGGTCCACTTTGCCTTTCTAAACCTGTATATTTAATATGAATTTAGTGAATTTAAAAACAAACAATCAAACACAACAACAACAAGGCGACATGCTATGTGCTCATTATCTCATAAACGTAACGAAGGCTTGAATCCTGGAGGAAACAAGTCAGTTTTACAACCTGTTGTACATGGACATTTTTAAAAATTGCATATTGACATCAACGATTAAAGAAAGAAAAGGAAACACTTCCGAGTCGTAGCATATTATGTGAAAAATTGAAAATATACATGTAAACTGAATAAATGGAAAAAATAAATGCTGATTATAGAGACATTTAGCTCATGACATAAAATATTTATGAATACATGATAGTCCCGCCTCTGGAAATTAGATAATTTCAATTGATAATACCTATAGATCAATCTTCATTATCATCACAAAAGAGTCATGTTTTATTCACAAAATTTTCTACAATCCACATTCATAAGTTCTCATCGCTAAATCAATGATTAAATGTGTTATCGTGTTGTAATCCTTTCAGCTCAATTTGCTAGGTTGGTATACCTTCAAGTAACCTTAAAGTTAAGTTTTGCGACATTTTTTGTTGTTGGTGTTGTTCTTTTCAGTATCACTAATATTGACTGTTTTTAGAACCACTGAATAACATTTTCATCAGTTAAAATATGTCCTTAAGTTCAGATGGGCCAGTCGAATTTTTTTTCTTCATGTTTGAGGGAGGGTTTAATTTCTTTGCCACATCTTTTTTTTCTCTCTCTCTCAATAGGGAGGGCAGCCCCTTGAGATCATTAGAAGTCTTGTGAAGTATAGCA